TTTAACTTATACAACGAATGCCAGAAATTTTAGCCAGATGGACATCAGGCATATGCTGGTCTAAATCGTCAAGGTGTGACAGAAGCTTAAGAGTGGCAAAATAAAAGCCAGACATGGTGGTGGTGGCATTATGCTACGGGTAAACGAAGCCACCATCCATTTAAATAAAAAGGAGCTTCCAAACGTCCAGACAGATTAGATCCGATTAATCAATGTTAGTCTGTCAGTCTAACAATAAAAATATTTATAAACCTGTGAATTATCGTGTGTTTTTAGCATCACTGTACTTTCTGTGGCAAACTGAGATAGCTTTGATGCTAATGCTGAATGCATGGAGGTTGTTTACCTGCTGGGGGTGGGGGACCCTGGCACGCTGCCATGTCCCATCTCAGGAGCTTGGGGGCTGAAAGAGTTGGTGCTGAGGTTGGGTATGGCCCTTCTCATCAGCCGGCCCCAGGTGGCAATGTTGATGTTCATCTGGGGGGCTCTGGGGAAGGTCTTACCTGAGGAGAATAAACCAGAGAGAGGAATATGAACGCTGGCAAACATAAAAAATAAGAAAACAAACATTTCAGGTCAGAGTATTAAAACCGATTCTTTCAGTAAGGTTTAATTTCCCTAAATAAATAATAAACCACATGTAGAAAAAAAACAATCCAACTTTGACACGAATCCGCCTTAAAACTGGCTAAAACCACCACAGTTAGAAGACTCACATGAATTAGCTAAAAAAAAAGACATAAAACCAAATCTAAAGTCTCTATTGTCAACAGATGAGAGGGAAATTATGGCAAAAAACATGGACAAAACATTAAAGGATTAATTTGACATTCATATCGAACTACTGAAAATCAATAATAACAATAATAATATTACAGCACCACTTCGATTTATTTATAACCAATATTTTTAACAGGTATTTTCCAAACAAAATGAAAATAGCCAAGGTAGATCCAATATACAAAAGCGGAGATATAAATGAATTTACAACATATAGGCTCATATGTCTTCTTTTACGACAACTTTCTAAAATCTTTTTTAATTAAGTATTAACAGATTTACTGATAAACACAGTCTGCTCAGTGACCGCCTGCACTGCTTCAGATCCAGAAGGTCTACTTAAACAAACAAACACAAATGAATGTGACTGATCAGACATTTCTGCTTATTCATATTGATGAAGAATTAAACTTTGAAACAAATTGTTTGTATAAATCTCCATTTCTTGAACGTTCCAAAGCTTTAGGATTTATGCACTTTTACCTAAGAACTTTCTGTTGTGTGCAGTTGGATACCGCTGTAAAACAATCTATTGTTTCTGAGAATTATGTTAAAATCGAGAAATACGGTTATTTGAGGTTTATTTAGGCCCCTTTCAGTCATTGCATGATTTATGATCCTGTTTGCATTTTGATGTATATTATTTAGAATGAAAAAAAAAACACAAATGAAAAGAAATAAAAATTATACATCACCAGGATACACCTAAAAGCAATAACTACCGTCTACAGTAGGGGCCACCTTAAAATAATGACTGTACACCATCAGGTCCACCTTAAACCAATGACAATATACCATTGGGGTCCACCTTAAA